GGGAGCGAGTGGGGAGCAGCAGCAACGTCGCGCGGGCGGGGGGAGTGAGGTGGGAGGGGGGATAGAGCGAGGAGGCAGCGGCGCGAGGATTCCTCGGCGCGCACGCTGCTTGGCCCCTTCGGCGCGCGCGCGCGCCCCCCCGGCACCAGAGCCTCTCTGAGCGGGAGGGGGAAAAGGGGGGTGTGTGGAGGAGGCGGCAGGTAGTGATTGGGTGGGGCTGTAGTCCTCGCTCCCGACGTGCGCGGGACCGTACAAGGGACCCCACGTGTGGTGCCTGCTGATTGGGCGGAGTGGCGAGCGCTGTGACCGTAGGGCTCATTCTTTTAAAGACGAATGTTGATTGGCCAATGCCAAGGCGGCCACGCGCGAGTAACGGTTGTCTCTTTCTCCCCCCGTTAGTTTTTTTTTAAACTGAGTGACACGGACCCGTCTCACAAAATGGCCGCCAGCCTTGATCTTTTCACCTTCTAATATGGTTACATTTTTGCTTCCAGCCGTGTGTATTAGTTAAATTCTACCTTACATTAATGTAATCTTTACTGTTAAAAAAAATGTAGGGAGGACTAACGAAGTTCATAATACATTGGCCTGTTAAGTTTTAACTACTGTATTGACGAGAAAAGAGTTCCGTTGCAGGGGACAAATGAAGTCCCTTGTAAAGGGACTTTACTTTTACTTTACTTTTGCTTGTATCCGTGAAAAGATGTAACGGAAGTTTTTTTTTCATTCCAGCAAAACTATTCAGGAAGCTTGATATCTTCCTTCCTCTTGTTATTTAGGCAGTATACAAAAGAATAAATAAAAGCATTATCAATGTTTAAATATTATATAAATTAGTTTAAATTTCTTTGGGGAAAAAAGAACAAGTAATCTAAAAAGCAGTCTTGATTCTGGTGTAGTTACCCTATAAATGCCTGGGTGAAGTGGCATCTCTTAATTGTGTTTGCAAAGATGGCTTTAGGCCACCCAATCACTTCAAAGAGATAAGATTCCACTGCTGGATAACCATTGCACCACAATCAAAGTGAGACTGTATTTCTAAATAAATTTTGTTTTAACTATTTTATTCTGCTTTCTGGATAGAAAAGCAGGATATAAATCAAATAATATAAAAAAATAAAAGCAATACATTGATTCAATGATTTTTACTGATTTTTGTTCTTTTTACATATTACTAGGGGCTCCAAGAAAAAGGGAATATAAATTTGTATTAAGTATTAAATATTAATAAACAATAGTAGACATGCTACTGCAGAGCTGTGAGAACTGCACAAAAAATTGGGCAATTCAGATTTTTCCTTTATTTTTTTTTCTTCTTTCTTCCAAGGAAATCCAGTAATATACAATCCCCAAATTCATACCCTCCATGCTGGCTAGGAATTATGGAGGCTGAAATTCAACATACCATGCTGGGAAGATTGTGTATATATATGCTTACTGATCAATACAACCAAAGGGCCCAAATATGATGACTTGGCATGATGTGCAAACTCAGTCAATTGTAATTTATAGTTAAATCATGATTTAGCTTCACCTGAACCCTGTTTTTTTTTTTTTTTTTTGC